GAAGGGTTCAGCGGCTTGAGGCACCACCCAGACTCAGATTCGCCTTCCCTGGGGGTTTGCGATCTGCGAAACCATCGCCACTTTCGAAGCCTGCTGGGGGTCCCGCGGGGCGCTGTCGCGGGCCGCCCGCAGACCTGGCGGCGCGCCTTCGAGCGCTTAGCTCCCGCACTGAAAAGTGCAGGAAGGAAGCAGGGAAGCTGGCGGGCGAGCTCGGCCTCGCTCGCTTCTTGGACTAACTATGAGCACGTTGAATAATTTTGTCGAGCGCCGCGGCGACAAGGCGCAGGCAGCTCTGCATCTTTTACGAACTACCGACAGAAACAACACTCTTTGGTCTCCTCCCGTCACTTTCGTCGTCGTCCCCTGCCCCCTGCCACCTTCCTTTTGCTGCTGCCGCGCTGACGGTTCGCCCTACGTTCCCGCCCCCATGTGTTCCGCAAGCCTGGGCCCTCGCTCCTCGTCCCTCTGCGGTTTTCCTGTGAACCGTGCCACGTAACCTCATCCCATGTAACTTGCACGAGATGTAACGGCGCCGGCTCTGCCATTGTCTTGGCAAGTTTGGGCCAGCCCCTCTTGCCACTTGATGCACATGGGTTAGGTGCAGACAGAGGCCCGGTCAAACCACATGGGTTGGCCCGTAGACGGGCGAGGCTCCAGCACAGTGGCCTGAGCGCACATGCGCGTAAACGGAGAGCAAACGTTGTGCCTCCGAGGGGGGAGGGGGGAGGAAAGGAAAGAACGGGGGCGGTCCTCACGCGTGAATGCAATGCTCGACGAATGCGTCCTCGTCACCATCGTGTACACTGTCATGCCAGCGAGATATATTATGCAAGACGTCGCGGGCGAATCCTTGGAGGCGGTCGCCCCATCTCGTCGGAGGGCGCCCGCGCGCCCTCGTAGCCCCATGCGTGTAGCGCGGGTTCCATACTATGACTTTCTGAATCCATTCCGTGCCCGAGCGTGCTGACCTGCACGCGAATCTGAACAGGCGGCGGAAATGCAATTCACTCCATTTTTTCAATCGGAAAGATCTGCATTGCATTGGCGATTCTGTCCCTCATGCGTCTCATGGTGTCTGCCCAGTCCTCGCCCTCGCAACGCCTCCAACCAACAACCAAGCGAAGCATCTTATTCTGAAGGGCGTTCAGGGATTGCGTTTGATGCTTGGTCAGCGCCGCAGCCGATAGTCCGAACAACAATCTAGGTGTAATGACTGATTGGAAAAGCTCCAGCCGCAGTCTTACGGATACGTTCTGGTCTGTGAGAACATGACGGTGTTCATGAAATTGGTGCCAAGCTCGCTGGAATCGTCGACCCAACTCGATACCGTTACGATGTTTCAAACTCCCGGGTATATTTTTTCCCAATTACTTGTGGACATCATTGCCTCCCATGACTTTCAGCATGTGCTCGCCAATCCCAATGGACATAGTCTCAATCCCCTCCTCCGTGGTAAGAATCTTTGTCTTCTCCATGTTTAGCTGGAGACCAACTGTGTCAAGCTCCTCATTGAGAATTTCCATCATGGCGGCCAGCTCGTCGGCAGAACTCGCGTGCAACATGATGTCATCAGCGTAACGTATGTTCGCGAGTTTTTCGCCCGCTCCTATGAACAACCCGGCGTGGCCAATGCGGATTTTCCATCTCTCCATTGCCAACTCCAAACCAGCGTTGAACAGCGTCGGGCTGATGACGTCGCCTTGCTTGACCCCCCGCTGGACGCGAAAAGCTTGCGCGCCCGACGCGCTGCCCATCTGTCCAGAATACAGCCTCGCCAGCAAGGCAGCGCAGTCTTCATCGAGGCCTTGGCGCCGGAGGGCATTACAGAGAGGGCCGTGCTCAATCCGATCAAATGCTTTGGTCAAATCCAAACTGGCGCACCACAGCGGCACTTGCCATTCCATGCATTTGCTGCATGCCACTTCGAAGACCAGGAACGCGTCATCGACCGAGTGGTTCGGCCTGAAGCCTACTTGGTCCGGCCCTTGCGCGTGTTCGAGGACGTCGCGCAAGCGATGGTGCAGCATGCGGGAGAATATGTGGTAAGTTGTCTTGAGAATGGCTATCGGTCTCCAGTTTTTCGGCTGTGCCAAATCCCCAGACTTAGGGAGCATTGCAAACGCCGTATCTTTCCAAGAATCTTCCACTTCGCCCGTGAGCAGCACCTGGTTGTAGAAAAAATAACCAATCTGTAAATGTATCGGAGGCGTGCTTGAACATCTCGGCGACGATGCCATCCGTGTCGGCGCCCCTCTTATTGTTCAAAGACCGGATCGCTTTTGTAAGTTCCATCTTGGTAAACTGGGGAATGTTGGTAAACGCGCGTTGGTCCGTCATCTCCGGCGGCGGCGCCGCTGTAGACGAGAATATGTTCTCCAGGAAGCCCGCCAAAGATTCAGGAGGACACTGTGCATCGACTACGTCCTTCTTCCTTTGGGCTGGAAAGAACTTGGTTGCAGCGAGCCGATGTAGATCGCAGAACTCGCCGAAGATCTGTTCGGTGCGCCTCGCTTTTCTTCTCCGCAACTCTGCGCGCACAGTTCTGCGAATGCGTTTGGACATGTCCCGTCTGGCTGTGGACCCGCGTGGGAGAGCTCGACGTTGACGCAACAGCTCCTGGAAAGCAGTATGATTCCAGAAACATGTTTGCTTTTCCTGCTGTTGGGCGTGTCCCGGTGCAACGGCGGCCAAGCACGCGTCCAAGTCGGACAGATTACCTGGCGGACTGTCTTGCAAGTGAGCGTCCAAATCATGACCATAATCCGCATCATCACGCGGTTGCCAGCCTCGATGGTTCCACTTCTGCTGGCGCTTCTGGGTGCGGATTCTCATAGTCAAGTGCGCAAGTACAGCCCTGTGATCCGATCCCAAGCTTAAGAGATCAACCGCTCTACTGTCCACCACCTGTATGGAGCCAGGCACTAAAATGAAGTCGATGCACCTTGTGTGTCCAAGACTCGATCGGAATGTCCACGCGTCTGCGTGGGTCAGGCTGGGCAGAACGTTTGCTAATTGAAAACCATGGAACGCTACGAATTCGTTCAATCTTTGCCCCCTTGGGCCGATATTGTACTGAGTATTCCAATCGCCACCAATAACTACATGACTTCTTCTCCTCTGGGCCGCCCGTGCCATGTTATCAAGCCGGTCGTAGAACTCGGTGAACTCATCCAGAGAAAAACCAGCATGAGGAACATACGTGAAAGTAAATGTGTACGTGCTTCTCCCCAATACTATGTCTAACCCAATCATGCGGCCGGCGTCAGCACATACCCGGCGAATATTCTGAGCGTGGCGTTCGCGCGCCAAGACGCCAACGCCCGCAGCAGCAAAACCATCCAAATGTAAAAACAACGCATGCCCACCTTCTAATGTAAGTTCTGTTGATGTCGCCCTGGTCTCGCTGAACATTATGAAATCCCACTCCACATCTGTCAATTCAGCAATTGATTCAACTATTTGCGCATTCGTTCGTAATCTCGCATTCTTGCTATACACATGCAAATCCCCTGTCAAGTAGGGGGTGAAACGTGGTTTGACCGGTGCTATCCCTATTTTGCCAGAGGCTTCCCTTTACCTTGGCCTTTGTCCCCAACCGCCTCTAAAGACTTCTGGCACTTATCGCAAAGCGCCTTGTAATCATCGTCGTTGTGAAGATACCCCCAACTCTTCCACTCCTCGCTCAACCACGTAATTGCCAAGTTCTTCCCCGAGCAGGTTGTAGACACAATCGTGTCAGCACCGATCTTCAAAGTAAGAGCCATACCATCAACTTTGATAGCTTTAGAATTGAAGCCCCAATTGGTGAGCAACTTCTTGAAGCCAAAAAGAAAACGAAGAGGGACACGTACATGGACAGGTTGGTCTTGATTCGCCCACACCGTTTTTCCAGAGCGCGTGATGGATGTGGTCTGGAACTTGTGCACGACTGTCTGGAGGTCGTCCGGGTTGGCCATCTTGCCGAAAACGAGGCCTGAAAATGTGTCCCCTTTGATGAAGATGTCGACGGGTGGTGAGACCTTCGCCTTGCGAAGCTCCGCCTTGATGAACTTATCTGCCTCCTCCAAAAAGGAAAGCCCGTCCAAGCCACCGAACACTGCCGTCGCAGCGTCTGTTTTTCCACTCGCCGTCGATCGATTCTTCATCATGGTTTCCAATTATGCCAAACGATTTTGCAATGATCCCTGGGTGATCTCCGTGCCGTCCGAGCGAGGAGTGTAGTGGGCCGACTTCGCTTCTAGTACTTCCACTCGCTGTGAAATAGCCTCCATGTCTTGCATGATCGGTTGGATGGCTCCGTCAAGGTCGTCGCGAGAAACTCCATGCAACTTTATGGCTGATATGTCTTGGCGTATTGGTGCCAAATGCTGCTCCAAAAGACGTGCCATAGAAGAAAACGTTAGTGAATCTCCCCCCTGTTCATGATGTTGTTGAAGTCCATGGGCAGCTCCTGTGATTGCGCTCGTGGTGTTCTCCCCTGTTGACGCCCCAGATCCTCCAGTTCCTGAACCCCTTGCTCCAACGTCGTCGTCAAGCCCATCCATCTCATGAAGTGGGCTGTGGACCCTGTGCTGTTTAAACAATTGCCTGACAGGAGTACCGGGAAAAGCCATCGAAGTAAAGAGAGAGAGACCGGAAAAGGGGCTTCAGAACGAAAGAGTGTGGCAGTAAGTGAGAAAAAGGACTTGAACCCTCTTGAGCCAAAATGGCTTGAGCCAAAATGGGTTAGGTACGTCTCTAGGTAATTGTTTGATGTCTTCGGCTTTGTTCGGGCCTCTGGAGGCCCCCGGATGCCTCGGACCCCCCCGATACGGGGAAGGGAGGGGGGAACAGAGATCAGGGATAAGGGAGGACGAGAAGGATAACTGAGGAGGAGGCGGAAGAAGAGTGAGGAGGAGGAGGAGGAAGAGGAGGAGGAGGAGAATGAAGGACGGCAGCAAGAATCAAGGGAGGAGGAGCCTCCACACGCCCTGCTCCCATGCCTTCGGCCTAGTTTCCCCCGCCCTTCGTTGGGAGACTGCCGAGACAGGCAGGCAAGTCGGATCGGGGCATCGCGACGGCTGGTTTCAGTACGTTTTCGGACTCTGAGGTCCATCGGCTTCGCCTGCCATAGTTGGCTCAGCAGCGCCAGAGCCCGATGCCAAAGATCGCCCTTCTCGCAGGGGCTGACCCCAGCGCTGCAGCTGATAATGACGTGACAATGACGTCGGGCCTCAGCTTCGCCTGCTACATCTGGCTGAGCAGCGCGGGAGCCCGCTGCCACTGCTCATTCTTCCCGCACGCGATGATCCAAGCGCTGCAGATGATGGCGTCGGGCTCCAGCTTGTCCTCCCGCATCTAGCTGAACAGCGCCAGAGCCCGCTCCCACTGCTCGCTCTTCTCGCACGTGCTGATCCTAACGCTGTAGATGACTTGTGCGCACCCGTGGGGTACATTCGCAAGCGATTCGGCAGGCGGATCTGCATCGGCGGTTCTCCTGGAAGGCCCCTTGCAGCCCGAGTCGGCGGCCTCCGGGGCCTCCCTGCGGCACGCCTGGGCCATCTCTGGGACAGCTTGGGTCGTGTTGGAAGCGTCTTGAGGCAGCAACGAGGACGAGAGGGAGGTGCAGGCTGCCTCCTGGAGCCACCACGGGGACCTCTTTGGCCGTATTGGGGCCCTCTTGGGGCCGTCTTCGGGGACTCTGTGGCTACATGCAGGCCATCTTCGAGGCCGCTAAACCGTCTTGGGCCGTCGGAGGCACAAGGAGGCGAGAAAGCTGAAATCCTTGAACAACCTTAGCAACATCTCTGATGTTGGCCTCCTCGGGCTCTCCTGGAAGGCCTCTTGGAGAGCCCTCTAGGCCGACCCGAAGCCCTCCGCAGCCGTCTTGACCTAATATTGGGCCATCTCTTGACCAGCTTGGGCCGTGTCGCAAGCGTCTTGGGCGAACTTGGGGGGTCTCTGGGATCATCCAGGGCCGTTCCAGAGGCCATCGTGGAGCGTCTCGGTGGCCCTCCGCGGCGCGGCTGGCCACAGATTGGAGATGTCACGGGGGCCTCGCGGCTGTGTCGGGGCCCTCTTGGACCGTTCTGGGGGATCTGTTGAGAACCGCTTTGGCTATCTCGGGGCCATCTTGGAAGCATCTGTGGCCACCTTGGCTCGTCGCAGGCGCGAGAAGGCCAGAAGGCTGACATCCCAGAAAACCCGAAGACCAACGTATGATTTATACCTCCTGTGGCCATCCTGGAAGAGAAAGCTTTGGAGCCCTCGTGGGCCGACTCGGGGGCCGTCTTGAGACAATATTAAGCCGCCTCGCCGCCATCTTGGCCCGCGCTGAAGGCGTCTGGGACGAACTTGGAGGTCTCTCGGACCCTCCAGGGCCGACCTGGAGGGCATCCTGGAAGCCACCCTGGGCCCTCCCGAAAGCCGCTCGCGGAGCGGCACGCCCCCCAGCAGGCCTCGCCCTCCCCCGCCCCCCAGGCCCGCCTCTGGATTTGCCACTCTTCTGACACGCACTGCTCCCGGCACTGCAGCACAGATGATGGCATCGGGCTGCAGATTCACCCTCAGCATCTCCACGAGCAGCGCCCCGCTGCCGCGGCCCGCCGCATTCGCACGTGCTGGCCCCTGCGGTAGAGCTGATTACGTCGGCCTCGGATTACACCTCCTACATCTCGCCGAACACCCTTGATGCCTGCTGCCACTGCTCGCCCGCCTCGCACGCGCTGATCTCATAGCTGTAGCTGAGGACGTCGGGCTCCAGTTCCGCCTCCCTCATATGGGCGAGCAACACCAAGGCTGGCTGCCACTGCTCGGCCTTCTTGCACGCGCCGATCACACCGTTGCATATGACTAGGGCTGACCCGTGGACTCCGTCAACGTCAACAAGCGTGTCCAGTGAGTGCGTGCTGCTGTTTGTTTATCTAGAATGGTTCCTGCAGTTCGTGCTGCCTGCAAACGGGCTGTCTGCAGGCAGTGACATGTTGCTCGCTTGGTGAGCAGAGCAGTTACATTGCGCGTAGTGGAACGAGTTTGATGAATACAATGAATACTGGGGCCAAGACTGGAAATCAAGAAGCGCGTGCGCGCTGTATGGCCCATCGATGGTCCATCGTGGCCGCGGCCGTCCGAGGTCGGAGAGGCGGCTCGCGGGCCCGGAGCACTCTCGAGGAGAGCTCCCCGACGGGGCGCCCGTTCAGAACCAGAGCCTCTCCGCCGAGGAGGGGAAAGAAGAAGCGCACCGGTGCCTCGTGCCCCTGGGTGGTCGCAGCGTCCCCTGGGGACCTTCCCCTGCAGGCCTCCGCGATGCTGTTTCAGAATGTCTTGGGGCCTCTCGGGGGCCTCGTGGGGCCCGATTTGGGCATGGTGGGGACCTCTTCGAGCTCCTTGGGGTGGCCTTTTGGTGGCCTGCTGGTGGTGGGGCGGAGGGCGCGGAATGTCAGTTCGAGTCTCCCCTAGTGGGCCCCCCCCTTTGGGCTGTCTTGGGGCCGACTTAGTGTCCTCTTGGGTCGTTCTGGGATCAGCTCGAGCCGTCTAGCAGCTCTCCCTGGGTCCTGTTGGGCCGTCTTGGGGTAGTATTGTGCTTTTAGGGCCGGCATGGGCCGTCTGTAACCCGAAAAAGCGACGCGTCGAAACCTTTCCAAAAACTAGCGAATATGATTTAAGCTTTCGTGACATTGTTGGGAATCCTCTTGGACCTCTTTGGGCCGCGCTGGGGCCCGAAAGGCTCGTTGGAGGGCCTCGAGGCATCTCGGGCAGTCTTGGACCGTCTTGGGGCCATCTCTGGCCGTCCTGGAACGCCTGGACTGGGCCCAGGGGCGCGCCAGGGCCAGCCGGGCTGACTGTAAGTCACTTGGGCGCCTGGCTTTTCCGCGCGCGGTGCGCCCGTGGCATCTCGGGCCATCTTGGACCGCCTTGGGGCCCTCCTGTAACGCCCCGGGGTGGAGCTTGGGAACGTGCCGGGGCTGGCCGGGCTGACTGCCAGGTTTTCCCGCGCGCGGTGCGCCCAGCATTGAAATAGACAGCTGACGTCGGGCCCCAGCGCAACAGCGCAAGCTCCCGCTGCCACTGCTCGCCCTTCTCGCCCGCGCTGGCCCCAGCACTGTAGCTGTCGGGCTCCACCCTCTCCTCCTACATCTCGCTCAGTAGCGCCAGCGCCCGCAGCCACTGCTCGCCCTTCTCGCGCGCGCTGATCCCAACACTGTAGTTGACCAAGGGGTGACCCGTGGACTACCGTCCACGAGTGCCCCTGTTGAAAATGATCAAGGACCGCCTGATCTCAAACCACCAAGAATATTAGGTCGAGGCGATCGCCCAAAGATGCACATCAGCTGGGCGACGTAAGATTTCCAGAAGAACCAGCACCACAACAGGCCAGATGATCAGCATGCTCATTCAGAAATCCCCAGCATGGCTCTCGACTTTTGATGGCGACATGACAAGCAACCTGATCGAATCCACGGCGAGTCCATGCAACAATTCGAAGGTCCGCCCGCCCCCAGAAGTGCCGCTGCGCCACGTCAACCGCGCGTTCCGGATCAAATTCGATGAAAAACAACGGCAATGAGAATAACGGAAAAAAACATATTCACGCACACAAAGCAATACAACATATACTGTGGACGACTCCCAAACATTTTTCGCTAGAGGTGGAGCGCCAATAAATCCCTGCCGATCGGGATCCAAAACGGAGACGCCGCAGAAACCGAATAAAATGGTCGAAGAGCCTCGGCAAGACCCCCGCTTGGATTAGCCTCTTTCGAAAAATGCTGCGCAGAACCGTCGCGGAAGAGCGCGATGACCTCTGGCGCCTGGAAGCGACAAGGGGCGTGCTACGAAGGGAGATGAGATGGAACCCTCGAGGTGCACCTCCACTCAGGCCGCACCCTCCAACGCGCCGCAAGAGACGACGAAGCAGAAAAAGAGCAGCACTGCATCTCCTTTCAACTGGACGGCCCAGGGCTGGTCCAATTCCATGAGCACTGGCTCGCCAGAGCACCGGGCCACCACGGCCAGAGCAGCGATAGCATTCACGCAGATGGCTGTCGCCCCCTCCGACGCCGACGGCTGTCGCCCCCTCCGCGCCAGGGATTGGATCAACACCGAGACAAGCGGCCTGAAGACCACAGTGGGCCACGCATGGTGGTGCACCGCGAGAGAAGGCGTTACCTGGTACCTGCCGTTCAAGAACACGCCGTTCAGCTGCGTTGCAAGGCCACTGCCGCAAGCGATGCGTCACTGTCTCGACAGCGGCGCCACAACGAACACATGCCACGTCGAAGTCGGGAGAAGCATTGCTTACGGCGTTAAGCGACCTGCACAAACCAACCGTCGTCAAGGCAAGGGCCCATGAAATGCAGCTGCGCTCCTCGAGCGCATTCGCGAGCCTCACAAGCTTCAGAGAGCCCAGCCTCCAGACCTGCAATATCCTTCGGGCGGCGGGCCGCCTCCTGTGCAGCGACGCATCTGCGCGGCAAAGACGGAGCGCATGGAGACGAGCATCGACTGTGGCCACCTGGCAGGGAATGCGCGAAGCGGCCCGATCAGCCCGACGCTGGAAGCTGAGCGCGGATGGCGAACTCGAAGGTGAACGAACCTGTGGTACATACACTACCCTTGATTCACTCTACGCAACGCGTCGCACAAACAAGATGAAGGACAACGGAACGTCCAAACAGAAGTCGCCCAAGTTGGTTCCACAGAGCGTTCCAGAGGTCATCAAACACGATGTTGGCAAACGCCACATCGCAGCGCGTGCGCACTGCAGTGCAAGTGGCCGCGCGCGCGCAGCATAAAACGCGCTTGGTCCCTGGCCCCAAGACGTGTGTCATAGGCCGGGATTGCCGCGCAGTGGTTCCTGCCTCCGCTTTCCCGCGGAAAGGAACAGCCGCCCGCGAGGAAGCCGACGTCATCTGAGACGGCGCACGTGCGTAGTCATCGCGAAGAGGCACAACAGCAGCGCCCGCGACGCAAGTGCCGCGCTGAGCCTCCCGGACCCCCTTGGGATGTCCTGGGGCCCGAGAGGCCCGTCGGAAGATCTCAGGGCCTCTCGGGCCATCTTGGACCGTCTCGGGGCCCTCTTGGGCGGTCTTGGAGCGCCCTGGCGCCGGGGCGCCGGGGCGCGACGGGGCCGGCCGGGCCGAACGCCAGTCACTACTTTCCAGCGCGCGGCGCGCCCAGCATCGGAGTCGGCGGAAGGCGTCGGGCCCCAAGCGCAGCGGCGCAAGCGCCCGCTGCCACTGCTCGCCCTCCTCGCGCGCGCTGGCCCCGACGCTGTAGCCGATGGTGCCGTGCTCCACCATCGCCTCCTGCATCTCACTCAGCAGAGCCAGCGCCCGCCGCCGCTGCTCGCCCATCTCGCTCGCACCGATCCCAGCGCGGTGGCTGGCCAGGGTGGACCCGTGGACTGCCCTCCACGGGCGCCGCTGTCGAGAAGGATCAGGGGGTGCCTGACCGCTGACGTCCAACCACCGCGCGCGGGCTCGAGGAGCTCGCCCAAAGGTGTGCCATGGGCTGCATGAGATTCCCAGAGGCACCATCGCCACATTCGGCCAGATGATCAGCATGCTCGCTCAGATTTTCCCCGGCATGGCCTCCAACCTCTGTGGTGCCAGCACGGCGGGCAACCGGATCGCAGATGGCGAAGCGGCGCAACGCTCCGAACGCTCGCCCGCCCCCAGATGCGGATGCACCGCCGCGCCGCGTTAGCCGCGCGCTCCGAATGATAGTCGACGAAATCAGCGGCGAAGGAAGGGGCGGGAACAAAACGCAATCACAAGACAGCTCGCCGCCTGGGCCCCGCCGCCAGCCCAAGCGGCGAGCATAACTCGGGCGTCGCGCCGCGCGCACTCGAATGCCCATCGGTTGCGCCATAGGTTGCGTCCTAGGCGGCTGAGAACCAAACCGTCTCCTATCGGTTGCGCCACAGGTTGCGCCCTCGGCGGCTGAAAATAACACCGTCTCCTATCGGTTGCGCTATGGGTTGCGCCCTCCGAGAATAAAGCCGTCTCCTATCGGTTGCGCCATAGGTTGCGTCCTCGGCGGCTGAGAATTTGATCGTCTCCCATCGGTTGCGCCATAGGTTGCGCCCTCGGCGGCTGAGAAGAAAACCGCCGCCGATCGATTGCGCCATAGGTTGCGCCCTCGGCGGCCGAGAATGGAACCGTCTCCTGTCGTTTGCGCCATAGGTTGCGCCTTTGGCTGCCGAGATTAAAACAGTCGCGTAACGGGTGCGACCAGTCTGTTCAGTCAGTTCAATACAGTTCAATTCAGTCAGTCAGTTCAGTTCAGAAGAATCCAGCGCATGATTCAGAGAACTCCCCAACATTATTCGCTCGAGGTGGAAAGCAGATGAACCCGTGCTGGTCTGGGCCCAAAACGGCAGGGCCACAGAAACCATATGACATTGTCGAAGACGGCGAAGCCGAAGTGAAGCCCCAGCCCGAAGTCGCCCCGTCAGACGACTGTTGCGCGGACCCGTTGCAGCAAAACGCCATGGCGCCCGGCGCCTGGAAGCGATCGGGGGCTGGCAACGGAGGGAGATGGAACCCTCGAGGCGTGCCCCCGCCAGGGCAGCGCCCGCCAGCGCGCAGCTTGAGACGACGAAGCAGAGGAAGAGCGCCGCTGCATCTCCCTTCAAGTGGAATGGCCCAGGGCCCGCCCAGCGCCGAGAGCACTCGCAGGCTTGCGGCGCGCCGGGCCGCCGCGACCTGAGCGGTGATGGCATTCGCGCGCGCGGGAAAGACATTGGCGGCCGTCGCCCCCTCCGCGCCAGGGGCTGGATCAACGCCGAGACGGGCGGGGTGAAGACCGCAGCGGGCCACGCGTGGCGGTGACAGGATAGGGAAGTCGCTGCGCGGCACCGGTCAATGAGGAACGCGCCGTTCAGCTGAATTGCGCGGGCACTCCCGCAAAGATGCGCCGCTGTCGCGACGGCGTCGTTCGCCGCAGCGAACGCGTGCCTCGTCGAAGTCGCGAGAAACATTGCGCGACGTCCACGCGCTGGCCGTCGTCGCTGCAGGGGCCGACGCAACGCAGCCGCGCTCCAGCGGCCGGCACACCCTTCACCTCTTCGGACACGCTCGGCGCGGGAGAGGTCGCAGATCCAGCGTTCCTGGGTGACCGCGGCTGGATCGGCAACTATTTTCTGCCCCCTTTCCCGCGCGAGAAATGTTTTAAGAGGTGTGGGGCGTTTCGTTGTTGTTGCTGCTGCTGTTGTTATTGAACTCTCACTACTGAAGAATATCCTTTTCTCTCTCCTTCTCTCTCATTTGTTTTGTTTCTCTCTCTCTCTATACAGATAAGTATGTATATATATATATATGTATATATACATACATATATACACACATTGTTAATCCCCCCGCTGGGGCACACTGCTTTTCAATTGAAATGCCCCTCCCGGGGCTCGCACCCTTGTTTCACAATGGAAAATGAGGGGTCACCAAACCAGGCCCCTGGCCCGAGAGGTAAAACAACAACAACAATAACAACAACTCCCGCCTGATACCTCTTCACAGTGTATTCCCAAGTCGCGCTCCCGCGCGAGACTTCCTCACAATGTTTACAGGGTTCGCGCTCTCGCGTGGGACGCCCTGGCAGTATATTCAGACGCCGCGCCCTCGACACTCATGAATCACGCTCACGCTGTGGAGTTCCTGACGATATATTTGGGAATCGCGCGATCGCTTGAGATTTCCCCGCAATCCATGCAGGACGCACGCTTCAGCAACCCGCGTGCTCAACATGGCCGCCTACGCCCGCCTTCCCGACCCGCACGCTAGGGTCTACCCGCCCGATCTGCCCGTCTGGTTCTGCCATATGTTTTCTGCTCTTGGCCCTCCTTCTGCCTTCTGCTACTTTCTCTCTCTCTCTCTCTCGTGTTCCATCCTCCTCCGTCCTCCTTGTTCCTTCAGCCCATCAGTCCTCGCTTCCCCTGTCTCAATTAAGGACGCGCGAAGTACACGTTACAGGTAAGACGGGTGAACCCCCAAGGGGGCACGATCGAAGACGAAAGGGGCGGGTATCGAGGGTTTGGGATATACGTATTAGCTGGCACGTGAGCAAATACAAGCGAACAGTCCTAAAATGAGTACAGTTGAACTTTCACGTCTGAATACTAATTATTGTTGATCCCCCCTCACCGGTGCATTTTGTTTTTTTCTCAATCAAAGTGTGCCCCTCGATTCGCACCTTGTTTTTTTGACAGGGAAAGTCTTGGTGTTCAAACTGTGTCCCTGGCCCCCGGATTACAACAACAACGGTCCCCGCCTGAGACTTCCTCACAATCTACTCAGGATCGGTGCTCCCGCCTGTGATTTCCTCGCAATTGAACCAGAACTTCATCGCAATTGAATCAAAACCCCTGCTTCCACTAGACAACCCCCTCACATTTTATTCAAGAGTTGCGCTCTAGCCTGTGACTTCCATGCGATGTATTTAGAAATCGCTCTTTCGACGCTCACGAAACACGCTGCGCCAAGGACGCCGTTACAATTTACTGAATAATCGCGCTCTCGCCATAGTCAGGCATCCCGCTTGAATGTCCCACCCGCCCGAACCGCCCGTCAGGGGATCGCCCGCCCGTCGTGGGCTCCCGCCCGAGAATTCCTTCAGG